TCATATGGTATTTCTACTTTCAGCTTTTTAAGGAAAAAACACCCACTGTTTTCCACAGTAGTCGTACCATTTTACAGTCCCACCAGCAGTGTATGAGGATTCCAGTTTCTCCACACTCTTGCCGGCACTTGTTGAAATTTGCTATTAGTGCTGGCGTGAGATGATATCTCATTGTTGTTTAAATTTGCATCTCTCTAATGCTTAATGTAAGGCATTTGGCTGCTAACCACAAGGTTCGTGGTTCAAACCCACCAACTGCTCCATGGGCGAAAAATGAAGCAATCTACTTCTGTAAGGATTTACAGCCTTGGAAACCCAATGGGGGTGGCTATGAGTTGGAATTGACTGTGGCAGTGGGGAATGCCTAATGACTCAGAGTATTTCTTCATTTGTCTGTTGGCCACCTGAATGTCTTTTTTGGTGAAGTGTCTGTTCATGTCCTCTGCCCACTTTTCAATTGGATTGTTTTCTGTTGTTATGGTCTCACTCCCACTTTAACTTTGCTCAAGTCACGCTGGCTTTCTTGCTTTCCTTGAATATGTTAAACTTCTCCCCATATTTTCACACCTTCTTCCCCAAGTATCTTCAACTTCATTAGCTTAATTTTCTTTACAGCACTTACCTTTATCTAAAAGTGTATCATTTATTTTTGTCCACTCATTTATTTTTCCCTTTTCCTCCAACATATAAGCTTCATGGAAGCTGGAATGTTGTATTACTTACTATGGGCTCCCAACATGCACATAATAAAGTGCTGACACACCCTGGATGCTCAATAAATATTAGTTGAATGAGTGTTGTTGTTGTTAGGTGCCATTAAGTCAGTTTCGGTTCATAGTGATCCTATGTGCAACAGAACGAAACACTGCTTAGTCCTGCACCATCCTCACGATCGTTGCCATGTTTGAACTGATTGTTGTAGCACTGTGTCAACCCATCTTGTTGAGAGTCTTCCTCTTTTTTGCTGACCCTCTACTTTACAATGCATGCTGCCCCTCTCTAGGGACTTGTCCTCCCATGCATGAATGCCTGAATGCACGAATGCATGAATAAAAAATCACCACAGTGGAGAAACACCATTTCCTGTTGATGCTTCTTTTTAAATTGTTTGAGTTCTTTAAAAATATTTCTGTTCTGGTTATCTCTCTCTTCATAACAAACCACTCCCAAACTCAGTACCATAATAGAACAATCATTTTATTTTGCTCATGCTACTGTGGGTCAGGGAATTCAGGGAGGCCACAGCTAGAAAATTTTTGTGCTTTCTGTGGTGTTGGGTGTTGCCAGGTGGTGCAAACGGTCAATGCACTTGGCTGGTCAAGGAAAAGTTGGAGATTCCAGTTCACCCAGAGGAAGAAAGGCCTGGTGATCTATTTCTGAAAAATGAATCAACGGGAATCCTGTGGAGCACAGTTCTACTCTTAACATACATAAAGTGGCCATGAGTAGGAGATGACTGAACAGCAACTTTTGTTTTTCTTGTTTTAAATGTAATATTGTTGACTGGGATCACTTAGTGGAATTCAACAAGCAGCTGGTCTGGTTTAGAGGGTCCAGATGGCTTCACTTACATGCCTGGCACCGCATGAGGTGTTTGCAAAGCAGAGTTCAGCTGGCTGTCGACATGTGGTCTCAGGGCTTCTCTACTTGGACTCTACATTAGCCAACAGGACTGGTTTACATGGTGGCTCTGAGAAAGCAAGATGGCCATAAAGCTAAGGTCTGGAACTGGCATAACTATCACTTCCATGTATTCCTTTGGTGGAATCAAACCAGTTCCAGGCCCACCCAAGCTCAAAGGAGGAGGAGTATCAAATCATATGCAGCCATTTTCAATTTGCCACATTTCTGAGAGAAAATATTCCTAACTAAATGGTCCTGTGGAAAATAATTCAATAAATTCAGTTATTTTAAATGTCTTTCTGAAAGTTAGAGGCTTTTGACTTAAATCTTACCTAAATTCAAAGAATCTTAAAAATGCTATGAAAAGAAATACAATGGTTAAAAATAATGTTAACTGAAATGTCAAACTCATAAAGTAAAAGAAAAAATTCAAGTTAAAGATGAGAGGAAGGGCGCCTCAGAAAAGAAAGTCTTGCTATTCTAGGGAGAGAATCTTTAAGAAAAAGACATGGAATGGGTCCAACCAAATGAAGGATGCTGAACTCTTATCAGCTAGACAAGTTCTTGGAGAATAAGCAACCTTGTATTAGTTTAGCATAGTGTCTTACATGTAGGTGGTCAGGGAGTGTGCAGAGAATAACATGAAGTGCAGAGAGAAACACTGGGTATGGCAACGTTTAAACCTAAGTTTCCAGTGGTCAAATCACCTGCTTAGGGAGGGTTCCAACTACTTTTCTGCCTTTAGCATTTCAGATGAACTGATTCCCAAGTTTCCTGTTTCCTCTTATTAGTACAAAGCTCCCAGGTCCCGGCAACTTCTTGGTCTGTAACATTTTATTTTATTATTAATTTTTAATTTATCAATTTACAACATTGCAATTCGGTTTAAGTGCTCTGAAATTACTGCAAAATTTTGTGTGATGTTTCTACTATATATACTTTTCTGATGTGGGGGTGAGGGTGGGGTGAGGTGCTTATAGTTTTTATTGATTTCTCAAAGGATTTAATAACCCCTCTCCTCACTATTCCACAATTTCTCTTCCCTGTATTCCACAATTCAGTTGCTTATCCATTAATATAAAACTTACTTCCTCAAAAGTGATTCATCTTTGTGCTTTGGCTCCCCATCAGGGAACTATTTCCCCTGATAACATAGCCCTGCATATGAATAGTGACAATAATGGCTGACTTAAAATTATTATTACCTGCTTATGTGCTAAGAACAGTTCAATAACAACCCTATAATGTGGTATTATCTTTATACGTGAAGAAACCAAGGCACAGTAATTTGTCCATGGTCACACAGCTAGCATGTGGAGGGGCTGAAAATCCTAGCATGTTGGCTTCAGAGGGATCCATACAATGAGGCCCTGTTCATGAGTGACGGTTTAGCCGTTGTCATTGTCGGATTAAATTAAGATAGGATAGTCTATAGCTGCATGCAGATGAACTGATTCCCATTACAATAAGTGTTTAAAAAATACAAGATCTTGATTCTTAGATTCTCTTGTATTCCAGAAGGCTTTGCTATCTTTCTCTGTAGAGATATCAGTGTCACAAAGCACATGACTAGAAGGGGGTGGGTGGGAAAGCCTGAGATTTGGTCTCTCCACTGTATTCTTTATGATCTCCTTTACTCTTAAAATTGTATGCAAATGATGCATTCTATTCCACAATTCAGTTGCTCATCCATTAATATAAAACTTACTTTTGAAGGAGCTCTGGTAGCACAGTGCCTAAAGCATCTGACTGCTAACCAGACGGTTGGTGTTTCAAACCCACCAGCCATTCCATGGGAGTAAGACCCGGCAATCTATTTCTGTAAAGATTTACTTCCTCAGAAACCCAGTGGAGGTCACTATGGGTTGGAATCGACTTGATGGCAGTGGGTTTGGTTTGGTTTCTGGTATTTTCTCAAAAGTGATTCATCTTCTTTATGCTTTGGCTTCACACACACCACTGCTCTTCGAAGAGGTTAGACAGTAGTGCCCGGTTGGGAATTTGGAGGCTTAGGTGCTGAACCTTTTGGAACAAAGTTGAACCCCTTAACTTGTTTGGTGATCATAGTCCTTATTTATAAAATGGGGTGGGTGGTGGTGACTAAGACTTTACCAAAGTTCTTTTCACTCTGAAATTACACAAAATAAAAATAGTCCTTTAGCCCTGGGTGGTGCAAATGGTTAACAAGCTTGCCTGCTAACTGACAGGTTGATGGTCTGATCCACCCTGTGTGGTGCAAATGGTTAACAAGCTTGCCTGCTAACTGACAGGTTGATGGTCTGATCCACCCAGAGGGGCTTCAGAAGAAAGGCCTGGCAATATATGAATGAAAAAAATCAGCCATTGAAAACCCTGGGAAGAGTTTTATTCTCAAGAGCATGGGGTCGCCATGAGTCAGATTCAACATGAGGGCAACTGATACTGGTCTGTTGTTAGTTGTCACATGTCCCTTCTGACTCCTGGTGACCCCACACACAACAGAAAGCAATGCTGCTTGCTCCTTTGCCATCTCTATGATCAGTTGCAGATAGGCCACTGTGATCCAGAAGCTTTTAATCGGCTGATTTTCAGAAGCAGAGCTCTAGGCCTTTCTTCCTAGTCTTAGACTGTAAGCTCTGCCACGTTCAGCATCATAGCGATAGGCGTCTCTACTGACAGATGGGTGGTGGCTTCACACGCGCAAGCGTGCATGGGCGGGACTCTAACAAGGTCTCCCACGTGGAGGGCAAGAATTTTACCACTAAACCACCAATACTTGTCATTATCGGTTTAGGCTGGTGAATTTCATGGTAAAATTGTTTGGAAACTCTTGTTTCAGGGTAGATATTTATATGTAATATCTGAAATGTATATCTAAAATACAAGAAGTGCCTATCTTACTGCAATTGGTAGTGAACACCTTTGAAATCTAGTCTAGGGCAGTGCATCCTCTGAAGTGTAACCTGGAGGAGCCTGGGTAACATACCAAAATCAAACCAAACTCACTGTCGTGGAGTTGGATCCGACTCATAGTGACCCCTCCTTGGTTTCCCAGGCGGTGTCCCTAAGGAAGTACATTGCCCAATCTTCCTTCCAAGGAGAAGCTGGTGAGTTTGAACCACCAGCCTTTTGGTTAACAGTCAAGTGCCTTAGGCACTACGGCCACCACAGCTCCAAGAAAGCAACTAATCTGTAAATGTCGATTTAAGCGCCCCTCAAAATCCGAAGGCGCAAATGTGAGCTCAGACTACGATCCCCTCCCCCACCACAACTCGCGATGGCAGGGGCCTGTGGCCATTCGGCGTCACCCTAGCCGACGTCTCACCTCCCGCCTGCGGTCCAAGCCGCAGGGAAGCTGCGCGTCTTCTGACGTCATCACCGGGCGCCGCTGCCTCTGTCTCCTTCCACTTCGCGGGAGAAGTTGTTGGCGCGAATGGATCCGGATTCTTGCTAACGGGTTCATCAGCCGGCCGACCCACCAGCTGCCAGTCCGCTCTTCAATCTTTGGGCTGCGATGGTGAGCCCTTGGGGGAGGCTGTGCGGCTCCGCGGTTTGGGAAACTTTGGGTGTGGACGGGGCATTACGGGCATGCAGCATGGGGGAGGACGGCGGTGGACGGCTCCGGAGAGGAGCTAAGGCTCAGAAGGGGCCACACGGCGGGCACTAGTTACACACTGCTTTGCTGGTTTCGGACTCCAGCTCTCGGCTGCAGCCAGTGAGCAGGGCTTTTGGTGCTGGGCAGGTGTTTCAGTTTTTTCCATCCTTGGGGGGAGGGAGGAAGGAAGAAACGTGATTTTGGGGCTGAGTAGTGAAGTTGTTTTCCTGTTCAGCGTTGCATCGAACCTCAGTGTGTGAGTCCTATCTGAAGTTTTTATTTCAAGCATGAGTCATGAGGGAGAAGAATACAAATTTCCTTCGCTGTGATTAAGTTGTCTCAGGCCTTCAACTTTCATTATTAACAGCTCCACGAAACGCTCATCACATAGTCATGATGACTTATTTGTTTAGATAGGTTCATAGGAGTCAAAGGATAGGTCCATGATGACTTACTTGTTTAGATAGGTTCATAGGAGTCAAAGGATAAGACGGCTGACCAGGAAAAAAGTACAGCGGATGGAAATGGATGTAATACATTTGACAGCTGTCATTCTTATTACCTTACTTTAAAAATAACCTAAAGCACAATAAAACAAAAAACTCAGCGCATAATTCCTTATAAAGCATTTTAACAAGTAGAGAGTGAAATAATTATGCAGCCTGCAAAACACATTCATGATAGTCTGGCAGTGGATAACAGGTGTTAGTGTGAAATACTTTTAATTTACAGGACAGTTTAGGATGCTTCATTAAACCGGAAGATACTTAGTATTCAGACATAATTTTGTCCATCATTCTTCAGCATATTTGTCAGAATGCCACCATTCTGGGGAGAAAATTTTTTTTTATGCCAAGTTGGGAAGCTTGCGCGTTTTTTTTGTTTCTTCTCAAAGAAGGATAAAATAGTGATGACAGCCGTCCTGTACCAACTATCTGCTTCAGCCCAATATGTTAGCTGTTTGTTTTACATGCCATTTTTCATTTAAACATACTAGCAGTCCAATTTTACAAATGGTAAAGGAGGCCTTCAGAGTTTAAATGATTTGTCATTCAACTAGCAAATAGTTGAACTAAAATTGGAGCTTAAGTTTTTCAGACCACTGCATTATACTATATCTGTGCAATGATCATCACCGTGGAGTTCAGGTACCATGGTGGTATGGAAAGTTGGTGAGATTTGGAGTCTTGAAGGTGATGTCTTAGTCTTGTTCTGCCATTTAATAGTGAGTGAGCTCACGCAAATAAGTAGCTCAACTTTAACCCTTTTAAGCCCTTATTTGCTTACCTATGAAAGGGGGTGGAGTTGCAGGAATGTGTCTGGGAGGAGCCTGGGTAACATACCAAAACCAAACCAAACTCACTGTCGTGGAGTTGGATCCGACTCATAGTGACCCCTCCTTGGGTTTCCCAGGCGGTATCACTAAGGAAGTACGTTGCCCAGTCTTCCTTCCGAGGAGTGGCTGGTGGGTTTGAACTGCCAGCCTTCTGGTTAGCAGTCAATTGCCTTAGGCACTACGCCACCAGAGCTCCTTTATATAATTGTCTTGAGGATCCAACGAGAATATATATATAAAGCTTCCATTCCAATGCCTGGCATGTGGTAGACATTATACCACTTTCATGGATCTTTCTTTATAGAGAGTGACATAGTGTTTAAGGAGATGCCTCTGATGTTGTCAGTCATGGTGAACAGTAGCTTATATAGTCAACTATGTTGGTCATTCAAGTACTTTTAATTATGGCCCTTTTTTCTTTTTTTAGTACTTCTGCTCAAGTGCAGATGAAAAATTAAGTCTTTTTCAAGAAAGAAACAAGAGTTATATTGGTCAGTTTTGCTAATTTTGTTAATGGAAAAAAGTTCCATAGAGTAGATACAATTTTGGGATATATTGGTATTTAGCAAAACCCTACACTGAAATTCTGTTCAACAAGTGTCTGTTGAGCACCTATGCACAAGTTATATTGTAGTAGTAATTGTTGTTAGCTGCAGTAGAGTTGGCCCCTGGTTTGTGGCAATGCTGTGCACGTGGAACAAAATGCTGCTTAGTCTTAAATCATCCCCACAATTCCTTGTGGCTGGACTATTTTGATCCATAGGGTTTCAATTGGCTGATTTTTGCAAGTCGATGGACAACTCTTTCTTCCTAGTCTTAGTTTTGAAGCTCTGCTGAAACCTGTCCAGCATCAGTGACACAGAAGCCTTCATTGACAGATGGGAGGTGGCGGTGTGTGAAGTACATTGGCTGGCAATCCAAGCCGAGTCTCCCACAATGAAGGGGAGAATTCTACCGTTGAACCACCCTTGCTTGCTTCTCCATATTACAGTATAGTACTTCTTTTTTTTTATTTTTTT